TGCTGAAAGCTCTCCCACATTCACATTCATGGAGTCTCTCTCTCTAGTACAAATTATGTAATGTCAACAAGTTGGGAGCACCAGGTGAAAGACTTCCCACATTGATTACATTATACAGTTTTTCTTAGGTATGAGTTCTTTAATGTGCAACCAGGTGAGAACTCCACTTAATAGATTTACCACAGTGGGCTTCCCTGGTGGCACAGTGGTTAAGAATCCGCTGGTTGGCTTTCATTAAATTCCAGCTCCAAAGGAACCATAATGGTGGCTGTTTCTATGTTCTGTGATCTAGGAATCTGAGGCAGCGGAAAGCCACATCTTACTTTGTGAATGGGACCCTTCTCCACTTTCTCCAGCTTTCAGCTGACTCATTGTAATTCTCCCAGTTACTATCCTCATCCATTTCTACAAGTTCAGCTGCCTCTGCCCCAGAGGATACATGTGCACCCTTTTCCACCCGACAAAAGTCTAAGTCCCAGGCTCACCAAAAAGTCTGAGCAGCCTACTCTTCCAGACTGTTGGAATTTCCTACACAATCTCCATGTTTCTGTGAGAACAGAGAACCATTCCACACAATTCCAAGCCCCTAGTTCCTTGTGGTTTGCCAACCCTAGGCACAGTGCCTGCACCCTCTCCCTTTCCCAGATCCAGTGCTTCCTAGAGGGATAGACCATCCCTTTGGGTACAGTATCCATTGGTGGAAACTTTCAAATCATGTACACCCCCTGCTATTACTGCAGAAGCAAATTACCACAAACCCAGTGGCTTGAACAATACAGATTTATTATTTTACCCTCTGGAGATCAGAAGTCTATCACTGGGCTAAAATCAAGGTGTTGCCAGTACTGCATTTCTTCTGAAGGCACTAGGGAATGAATCAATTTCCCTGCCTTTTCCAGCTTCTAGAGGCCCCTCACATTCCTTTGTTTATGGTCCTGCGTCACTCAAATCTCTGCTTCTGTCACCATATCTTCTTTTCTTACTCAGATCCTCCTGTCTCCCTCCTGTAACAACCCTTGTGATGATACTTGGTCCGCTGGGATGATCCAGGATTATCTCCGTGTTTCAAAATACTAATGTACTCACATCTGCAAAGTCGCTTTGGCCATGTGAGGTACCATATTCACAGGTTCCAGGGATTAGCAGTGAACATCTTTGGGGGCCATCATTCTGCCACTCACAACCCTCCACCCAGGATATTCAGACACATCCTGAGCCCTGATGGCAAATTTATGACTGAAATACTGGGTGGTACAAGTGTGAATTACGTGCGGTTGGGGAGAGATTAGGAGCCACCAGTTTATTTATTTATTTGGCTGCAACCAGGTCTTAGTTGCAGAATGCAGGATCTTCGTTGTGGCATGCAGGATCTTTAGTTGTGGCATGGGGGATCTTTTAGTTGTGGCATGCGAACTCTTAGTTGCGGCATGCATGTGGGATCTCGTTCCCTGACCAGGGATCGAACCCAGGCCCCCTGCATTGGGAGTGTGGAGTCTTAACAAACTGAACCTTTACCCGAAGCCTTACCCTAACCCATGACATATTCCTAACCCATAAGCCAACACTAACCCGTGTGACCAGGGATCGAACCCAGGCCCCCTGCATTGGGAGTGTGGAGTCTTAACCACTGGACCACCAGGGAAGTCGCATGTATATTCAAATCCTGCATCATTTCATCCTACGTTAAGGAAAGTGGAAACTCTTCCATTCACCTCAGAGATGAGTTTCTCTGACTTTCTGAAGTCAACTTATGATATTAAGTTATCCATAGCCATAAATCTTTCCTAACTCAGCATTTATTACCTTCAGGTTTCTTTTAGTGAGAGTGGTGAGTACAGAGGCTCCTGCCATGAGACGAGGGCATTGCTGGCCCTCCTGGTGGCATCATCCACCATTCCCTTGGTTGATCGTCATCCAGGCTCCTCATAAAATCCTGACAGATGTCCATTCATCTGAAGGAGGTTCGTGCAACCACCTGCCCTGCCACCTGCTGATCATGCTCCCAGAGCATGTCCTTCACCTGCCTCGGCCCCCACTCCCCTTATCTACCCCAGCACAACTTCCCAGGTCTACCCAGGGCCCACCCGTTTTGTTTTAACATTGCTTCTTTTAATCAAGTCATTAGTGAAAAGACGTTTAATCAAATAGGTGGGAAAAAACACACAGAGATCCTACCACAGAAATATATAGTTTATTTATCTATGTTCTCTTTCAATCCTTGTCCATATGCATAAATACTTTACCACAAATATAATATCAATGCACAGACTTTTTGGTACCTGGCCTTTTAAACTTAGATTATAAGCATTTTCAGGTTTCACTAATATCACTTTTAATAACCAACGAACAAACAAATTAAAATGGCAAATCAACTGAGAGAAAAATTAAATATTTTTCCAACTGATGTATTCATTAGCGATACTCCCCACTGCTTTTCTTACTGACTTACGTGCAGGGCGGTCTCCCTGGTCATCCTTTGGTCTTGAGAATTTCATCACTCAAGGCTTTCCACATTCAGTCCGGAATCTCAACCAGGCTCGCTCATGTGACACTGCAGGATCAGGCTGCAAAGGCGATGTCTCTTCACCTGGCTTGAGGGCTACGAGGTAGGCTGTTTCTTCTTGCATTTCACCCCGCTGTGCGTTTTCTGATGCCCTATCAGGTGCGAGCTCTGGGTGAAGGCCTTTCCGCACTTGTTACAGGTGTAGGGGCGCTCGCCGGTGTGAGTCCTCTGATGCCTGATGAGATGGGAGCTCTGGCGGAAGGCTTTGCCGCAGTCCTGACATGGGTAGGGCTTGGCCCCGGTGTGAGTCCGCAGGTGTTGGGAGATGGCCGAGCGGTCGTTGAAAGTCCTTCCACACTCATGACACTCAAAGGGTCTCTCCCCAGTGTGAACCCTCTGATGCTGCGTGAGGGAGGAGCTCTGCACGAACGCCTTCCCGCAGTCCGGACACACGTAGGGCTTCTCTCCCGTGTGGATCTTTTTATGCACGGAGAAGTACCTGGGGTTCCGGAAGGTTTTCCCGCATTCGCTGCATCGGCACACCTGGCTCCCTTTGTGAATTCGCGTAAACGTGATCTGTTGAGTGCTCCGGGGTAAGGTTCTCCCACAGCTCCCACTCTCCTGGTCCTTTCCCCTGCTGCAGCTCTTCTGATGAAGTTTTACACAGGGGTTGTGTGTCATCTTTTTGACCCTGGGGTCACGCTTGCGCAAGCGTTTTCTAGGAATGGTCTTCTGAAGGGAGATGTGGCTTGTGTCGGGACCTGTGCTTGCCTGGGGTTTGGGGCTTTCACTGGGTGGCTTCTGAGGGAGGGTTTTTTCCTGAGTGAGCACTACTGGTTTCAACGCTGTGTCCAAGACCTCCGGGGCCCCAGCCTGCAAGGTGTCTCCTGAGGTAGAGGGCTGGGTGTCATCCCTCGAGAATTCCTCCACTTTCAGGTGGCAGGCTGGCTCTTCCTCGGGTGTGTTGGGGTTTGGAGTTAACTGTTTGCTTTCCAGAGTAGTCTCCCACCCTGAAAGAAACACAAAGGTACAGATACTGTAAAGAGAAAGTGCTAAAACGGGTCGACAGTACGACATAATTAAATATCCAGAAGCTGTGTTTTCCCCCAAGTACAGTCGAGCACCCTGGGGAGGGAGACTGAAAGCAGTGAAGCAGCGAAGAGTGGCACACCGAGCTTGGGCGAGGGCTGCGAGCGTCTCCCAGCTCTCAGAGTCCCCGTTCTCATTCACCCTCAGGGTGGACAGCAAATTGGTCCTTCACTGGACCTGAGGCTGCCTCTGTTTGTACGAGCCCCACCCCTCCAGAGGTACAGTGTCAGCTAGAGGCCCTGGACGGTGCAGGGGACTCGAGGGCATGTCCAGGGCCCAGAGAGGGTGTAAGCCCTGACTCAGAGCCCCCATGGCATCCCAGTCCCGGAAGCGTGGAGGGCCTTACCCACAGAGACCAGGTGTCCAAAGGTCTCCAGCATCACGTCGTGGTACTCGGTCCTCTGTGTCGGGTCCAGCAGCCCCCACTCCTCCCTGCTGAAGTCCACAGCCACATCCAGGAAGGTCACCGGTTCCTGCAATGTCACACAC